GGAGGCCATGCATGACAATAAAAATAATAGCAACTTCAGAGATAAATGGTTCAAATTAATTAATCTTTTTTATCAATATATCAACTAGGGCTCTTAAGCAAAAGCAACAAAAAAAAAAAAAACAGAATCAATATGGGTTCCCTCCAGAGAATAGTGCCTTTTCCCTTTATTTATCTTTGTTCTTTCGAAATCTGTGTCTTTGCCATAGCAATCGGATAAATTCTGAGATCCTTGATGAAGAAGCTGTTGTTCATCATTGTAGTTTAAAACAATTAGGGTAATAGTTCACATTGAAGATGGAAACAATTTATGCTTTCCTAGTTTGGTTCCAAGAAAGAGCAATATATGAAACTTCAGCAAATATAGCTTGATGGTATTCATTGGGCTAACAACATTGTTTAAGCTAATCCAGCCCACTTCAACTAAGCTGGTCAGTCCACTGAAAATCGAGGATGATAAATGAAGTCAAGGCAAACAACAACCAAAAATTTCATCTTGTTTTGTTAATTTAGGCTAATCGGAAAATCTCAAACTCCTATTCTTATCATTTTTTTTCTTGTTTGATGTTGAAAATGTGCATCAGGGATCATAAACAAAGTAATCGGAAGAAATAATTAGTATAAAATTCACTGAAAGAACATCAATTTCTTTATCAAGCGGTAAGGGATTTTTGAATTTTGTTCCATATATCTCTTTTTCAAATCAGTTCAAGCAAATTTATCTCAGCCTCTCGGATTCGAACATAAGTAAGGAAGAGGCATACTTTTTTTTACCACTTGAGTTAAATGCCAACTATCCGATGATAAAGCACATCAATTTAATAGTCAGTTCTTGCAACATTCGCAAGAAAAGAGGTATACGAGGAGCTGATTACAAGGTTAATTGCATTAGATATGGCTAACTCAGGAATTTCGGATATGCTTAATTTCCAGAAAACCAGCACTTTTCAAGCATTAAAGAAATAAACTTGACCGTGTGACAAACAAAGAAAATGATTCTAATAGGTGAAAATTGATGCGTGCTGAATCTAAAGAAATACGTCCATTTGATGATTATGACATCATTTTAGCTGCAATAGCCGGTGTTAGCTGACAAAAGCCTGTTCACCTGCTCTATTTAGAAACTCTATTGCATAGTATTTAGTTAGATTAATCAAAAATTAAACAAAAAGTAAAGGACGGCAACTTATCTTGGCAGGGCGAGTTTTTGCTCTCCTCAGCTTCCACTCAACCCCCAAATATTCCACTTGATATCTGACATCGATCGTTTTTATCTTTTATATTCAACCTTAATCGGACACATATATGTATATTTTGTATTCAATTTAAAATTAATTTAATAATTATAATTTAATAATAATTATAAAATTTATTTTAAATATAAATTACGTCTTATTTATATATAAGTATAGTATTTTTATTAAATTAATACCTTAAATTAAAATATTAAATAATAATTTTATTAATATAATATATACATATAAATATAAAACTAAATAAATAATACAAATATATATATATATATATATATATATCTCAAGATAGGTTAAGGTGAAGCACCTTAAAATTCATCTTCAATCCGACTCTAAATTTTTTAATAATACTTACTTCACCTCTAATTCAACTTCGGATTTTTTAAAACAAAAATCACCTTATTACATCAAAACAAATTAAAATATCGTCGGTTTGGTATTTATTTACTGTCCATAATCCATAAAAAGCCACCCCTTGTCAAAACTAATAATTATATTAAGCCAAATAAAATTAAGAGCCTATTAGTAAATTCGACAGTGCCACATGTCACATTGACGTTCTAAGTAAACCCACGCTTTCTAACTTTGAACTGCAAGTTGATAGTAAAATTATAAATCCTCATAACTCAATTGTCTTTCTCAGTGTTTTATCAAATGTAATGTTATTTTCGCATACTAGTGTCTTATTGTTAGGTGATAATGCAAGATATTTCAAATAACTTATGAGCTTAATACAAAACATATAAATATGCTTTAACAACTAATGATATTTCTGAGAGTGACATCCATACATAAAAATAATCATGTTTTACCTCACCATATGTGATTAAATCTACTCTAATTATAATATCTTTTGTTAAAATAATATTATCTCACATCAGTTATTTATTGAGCTTTTCTATGACCTATACATGTGATGAAAACCTGCGCTTATATTCCTTCTGAGTTTGTCACATGATAATGACACCCACATATGATAAATATTTATTAAAATAATCTTATTTCTCTTCCGTTAAAGATTGAATTTGATGTGATCTTACATTTAAATTGGATCTTGGTTGATTCTTAACACCAATAAACCACATTAGGCACAAATCATAAAGGCTTTAGAATCTTTTTATTTATAGTGCAATGGTGATTAGGACTGAGGTGCTTGACATTTGACACACAAATATATCCAACATAAGGGTCGTTTGTGTTATTCCAATGGGGTTGCAATGTCCATTCCACTGTACCAACTCTGCTTCTTATAAAAGCAAGTTTTTAAGCCTCAAATATGTGGTGAACAACACATGAAAGATTATAAAACAGATAACTTGTCATACCCTTTTTTTTTTTTTTTAATTTTGGATAATTGAAGCAATTAACAGTAATTAAAATTTGATATTATTAAAGCTTTTATCAATTTTTCATGTTTTTTCTTATAAAAAACCATCCTGTTTAGCTAGGCAACCTAAAACTTACCATGGTTTTCAATCAAAACTGACCCCAAAAATGATTATGTGATACGATTTAATTCGATTTATTCATATAATCATCATTAAATTTAAAGTTTAAATCTCAATATTTACAATTGTTTTTTTTATCTCCAGACTGCATCTCCCTTGTATATATTACAAAAAATGAAGCAACAAGTATCCTACTATACATTCAATTAGTGTTGAGCTTAAGATAGAAATATACTTGTATTTGCTGGGTGATTGTGTATGGCTGTGATCATTTGAGATGTCTTTGTTCAGATTTCTTGTAAGATTGGGATGCCTAGAGGATTCTTCTATGCATTTGTGTGTCCCACAAATTAGATACCTTTCTTGTCTCTCCAATCAACTATGAAATATTCTGTGTTACACTAACATTAAGAATCAACAAAGGAATCATAGATTCCAACCCTTTAAATGTTAATATAGAAATTGCCCACTTGCCCATCTCTCCTTTTTCATTTTTAAATCTTCGTTATAAAAGTAATACCCAATTACTTGAAAACTTGTACCCTTTCCCGTAATCAAGTTTATAACTAATTAATGTTCGTGTTTTTATTCATTTATGAGGATTCTAATTGACATTTTTTCTCCTTTTTATATCAAAATCAAATCCGTTAATTTTAAATAAGATGTAATGAAAAAAATACAAAAATGATATGAAAAAATATATAAAAAATACAAGTTTAACAAAAATAAAAAATTTTGTATTAATTTGACATATTAACATAAATTATGATATAATAATTTTTATATTTTATAGATATTTAATATGAAATAAATGAACATGAATATTAAAATTATTAAATCAACTCCTAATATATGTTAATCTAAACTTTGGTTAAAGGGATGGTGACTTAATCTTGGGTACTCTTTATGGTTAATGGACAAAAGTTGAAAGAAACGGTGAGCGAGCTCATCAACAATTTGATGCTTACACGTAAGAAACTTTGGTGTGCTTTAGGCTTTATGAGTTAACTTGTCCTTTTCTTTTGCCTTCTCTTTTTTTGGTCAATGAGATGCCTCTAGGCAGATGGCTTCGATACCGCTCATGCCTTACAAAAGGATTATAAATTATAAATTTAATATTTAATTTAATTAATTTATATAATTATTTTTAAAAAATATCACTAGAGAGCTCGAAATGGTATTATCAATTTTAAGGATTTCGATAACGTATATTTGAACTTTCATCACATGTAAATCAACTTTTTATTTTTGATTTAATCGTGTGTTAATAATTTGATGAATTTTCGTCTAAATCTAACTGTCTTTTCGATCTCACTTGTATAAAATAAATATGTATTATCTCCAAAACCCCAGTAATATGTGAGATTTTTGGAAAACCATTCTTAAAATGCAATTATAAGAATTATGTTAAAAAAAAAACTAAATTAAATTGCAGTACCAGTAGGTTTAGGTTTCATTAATTCTACAAGTTGGGTAACATAATAAACCCATAAATAACCCATTTTTGCTAATCACCCGTTAACACGGACAGTTTCCTTTAAGCAACCCTAAACAGTTTTTTTTTAAATGTTTATCAAAAATATATATCAAAATTTATTTAAATTTATTTAAATTTTATACTATTGATTTATATAACGAGACCATTTAATTTATCAATTCTAATTTTTAATTTTAATTATTATTTAATCACTTTTAATAAAAACTTCACAAATTTTATCTAAAAAATTTTATTTAAATCTTTCCCTAATATTCATTACTTCAAAATAAAATGTACTTTGGATATCTAGCATTGAAGATTATAGAAGAGCCCCTTCTTGCATTGCAGGTTTAGCATTTTTTTTTATTTAAGGAAGCCGCAAAGAATAGAGAAATAAATTATAAATGTTAAAATCTAAATTTTAAACGTATTAAAATTATTTTTTAAAAATAATTATATAAATCAATTAAATTAAACTCTCAATTATTTTTATTTTATCCTTATTTAACTATGGGGAATTCTTTGGAAAATTTATTGACATAATAGTCTATGTTATTGGTATTTACACAAAGCATCAGATACTTTCCTTCAAAGCACCAAAATTCAGTCCAACAAACCAAAGGCAAAATATTCTACTACTATGGAAAAAAAATGGTATTGATTAAAATTTTATCAAAAATTATATATAAATTTAACAAAAATTAAGAATGTATTTCATATTTTTTCATACAAATTATAATACTTAATTTTTTATATAAAATCTAACATAAATATATAAATTATTAATATTTTATACAAAATAAATACTTGGTAAACCTCATAATTAGCAACAGTCCAAAGACTAGACGACCATTCAATAAATAAACCCCAAGCACCCCTTCCTGCCACCTGATTTTCAGTTCAAAATCCAACCAACATTTCACCAAATCTTCCTCTCTTTCTCTTTCTTTCTCTTCCAATATGATCTTATTGGCGTAGAGCAACACCAACATCCTTGGGAAACTGTAACCTTTGAAACAACAAAAAATAAAAGCAACAAACAACCCTTTAAACTTTGACATAAACAGACTCCACCAGTTCTCTCCTGTCTGTAACCTTTCCAGACCAGACAAGGACAGCAGTGTTTTACAGACAGAAGAGAGAATTGGGTTGTCTTTTATCTGTTTTTTTAGTTTGGTTTTTGCTGGATTCAAATTCAAGTATTTATGTGGAGAGATAGGTATTGTAACAGGAAACCTGGGAAAGTCAGGGGAGTATTTTTTCGAGAGGATATTTGATTGCATCCATGAGATCACTGAGGCTCTCGCTTTGTCTAGGATGAGCGAGTCTGCTTATAGAGTTGAAACCACTGCTCGTCTTGCTCAATGGAGGATAGACAATCTTGCTTCTTGCACTTACCGCAAATCCGATCCTTTCAAGATCGGCAAGTGGAATTGGTCTGATTCTTTATTATTATTATTATTATTATTATTATTATTCTTTCTTCCTTCTCTCCCTCTTTTTGATGAATTTTTTTTAGCTTTTCATTTCAAAAATTCGAAAAACTACCATGTTTTGATCATGCATTAGTTTGGTTTCCTGTCATATGCAGATTCATATAGTTGGGTGAAGTATCCAGGGATACCTCAAATATTGAACAAACAAGAAAATTTGATGAAAACCTTAATTTGTTAAATCATGAGTAGTTTTTTACATATATTATAAGTGAACATTCTTGAAAAAAAAATTTATAAATCTGTCACTGAATTTCCTGAAGTTTGGAAACAAGACCATGCATTAAGATAACCCTCTAGGTTAAATCTTTGTTGATCTTAGATTTTGGTTTGTTTCTGGATTTTTTTGTTTTTCATGGAAAATATTGATGAATCTGAATAAGCAAGCACATTTTTTTATTTCTTGTTGATCATTTTAACCCTGGGTCACCCCCTGACAAAATCCTGGGTTGAACACTAAAGAAACTAAACTGTTGAAAACTTTAAGGTTGGAGTGAGAGTTTGATGTTTTCTTTGGTAGCTGAGAAAGTAGGTGTTTTTTCTGTTTGTATTTTGTTACGAGGACAAAGCAGTTTTTTGAACCGTGTTCTTGTCTGAATTTAAGGCATTTGACGGTGGAGAAGAACAGGGTATTGTATGTTAAATTACACCCAGAGATATCAAATCTAACCAGAGATAATCCTCCAATTGCATCCTTCATCATCCGAGTTGTCTGCTCTGCTGGAGATCGAAAGGCTTTTACTCATCCAGGTACATGCTACTTCTTCAACCTTACCATTTTTGTTTTACTTGGCAAAACAGAATAACCATTCCAGGGAGGGTTAAGGCTTGAATATTTCGTTTTTAAGCTTAGGTTCGAATCCTACTACCAACAATCTCCTGATGAATGATCTGTAAATCCAATGTAAATCTTCTTTAAAACTTGTGATTTGTCCTGACCATAGAATAGAGAAGCCTTCCCATACCCTAAACTTTTATGTAAAAAGAGAAAACAGAACAATCATCAGTTATTTTGATCCACCAATCAATAATTTGATCAAAACTGGATATTGTTATTTCATGAATGATCCATAGTTTTTCATCAATTTGAGTTTTTTAATGCTTTTCTTGTTGATTTTGATTTCTGATGCTGCTGTGAATTACTTTTAAGGCTTAGATTTTAATGGAAAGAACACTGTTTCTAGGATGATCAAGATTGTTGTTGATCAATTTTTTCAATTTTATTGTCCCTGTTTTACAGAAATAACAGACAAACAGCTGAAAACCAACGACGATTTTGTCTGGCCGATTGAGGTTCCTTTGACAGGGAAATTCATTATTGACGTTGAATTTCTTGATCTGAAGACTGCATCGCCAAACGTAAGACTCTAATATAAGGAAAAATTAACTATACTCTAGTTATCACCTAAAATCTCTGTGGAAACTAAATGCTTAGATCTGACAATTCATATATTTGTATCTGTTTGGTTCATTTAACACATGCAAAACACAAAAATTATGGTATCACAATTCGTGTCAATATATCAAACACAAAACTCATTTTTTAGTTTTTTTTTTTAAACTCATGATTTTTATTAAAATTTTAAACCTTGTCTTTTTTTTTGTATAGTTTTTGTATCAGATATTGTATCGTGTTTAAGATGATCTGGTCTACAGTAATGCTTGTGGGAAAAAACAAAGATATTATAAGAGTGAAATCTAGTAAAGAATGGGTGTTGTTAATGTCATACCTGAATTAACTATTATATTTTGCTGTTAATTTGCAGGGTGGGGAACCTTGCTCCATTTGGGCTGAAGGATTCACACAAAAGCAATCAAATGCAACAGCTGTTGCATGCCTTGCTCGAATGTTAACAGAAGGCATCCATACAGATATCATTATTAATGCTTCTGATGGAAGCATTGGAGCCCATCGTGCTGTTCTTGCTGCAAGATCACCTGTTTTCCGCAGCATGTTTTCACATAACCTGCAAGAAAAAGAACTCTCAACCATAAACATCTCCGACATTTCAATCGAAGCTTGTCAGGCTTTTCTAAGTTACATTTACGGAAACATCGAACACGAAGAATTTCTTACGCATCGACTGGCACTTCTCCAGGCTGCTGACAAGTATGATATATTGGACTTGAAAGAGGTGTGCCATGAAAGTCTCCTAGAAGATATTGATTCAAAGAATGTCCTTGAGAGGCTCCAAAATGCAGCTTTATACCAATTGCCAAAGCTGAAGTCCAGTTGCCTGCAATACCTTGTGAGGTTTGGAAAGATATATGATATTCGAGACGATTTTAATGCTTTCCTGCAATGTGCAGACAGGGAACTGATAGCTGACATCTTTCATGAAGTTCTGAACACCTGGAAAGGATTCTAAGATTCCAAAAAGAGTAAAGAACAAAGGAAATGTGTTTAAGTCAGTGATATTTATAGGATGCATGAGGATTTTAGTGTGCAGGATTTTCTGTAAAGATGATTCTTTTGTTCAGATGGAATTCATGTCTCCATGTGCATATGTATTGGTATCCTTTGACATGAACATACCATCCTCATTAACAGAATTTCAGAAATACAATATGATTTGGTTCAAATTGATTGATTTATGTTGTGATTTAGATTTTAAGAGGAATTTTACTCAATCGGTTTCTTTATTTGGGATGAGGACAGAAACTTTGCATGCTGTCATACAGAAGAAATAAAAGCATACCAAACATGAAAAAACACTCAATTATATTGGTATGAATGCAGGACCAATCTGATTTGGTTGCAAATGTTTCTATTTGCTCGACAGGTGCTTTCAAGTTTCACTCTTGACTATCTCATCAAGAACCAACTAAACCATGTAAAGGCTGAAAAAGAAAAAAAAATTAGGTAGACAAAGCATGCCAATACACATCCTGACCACTTTGCAATTAATGCAGCCATGACTTTTCGGTCTCCACAATGAGAAGTGATTGACACAATAAACCAACATGCTCTTTCTCGGATTTTGGCGTAAATAGTACACCAAGAGAATCAACAAGTTAGAAACTTGCTTTAGTTTTAGCATAAACAAACTCGCGTACTGATACCAAGTTAATAAGCCCACCATGTTGCCATAAATGACTAGTAATTGAAAATAACAAAAGGTGCAAACAACAGAATCAAATGGAAAACCTGGTTATGTGGCCTGGTGGTTCACCTCCCAGCATCAAGAGCTGCATTTTCTTCCCTGCAAGCCCTGGGTTCAGCGGAGGACAGAGGTTCCCATCATAGAAAAACACGTAAGACTCGATCAAATCTTCATTCTGTTTCTAAAATGTTTGTAGCCAAGATTATCAGCAGATAGCAGATGGATAGAGACATAAGAAACAAAGTACCATATGTTAATACCAAATATAGTAAATAACTGATAAACAAACTCAGAGAAGTCAATAAGAGGACTTCCTATATCGAGGAATGAGTGTGAAAAGCATATCAACAGCTTAAAACTGAGCATAATGATCACTTGCGAAAGAGGTGCTGATCTTTAGATGCATAAATTACAGCTTCTATTGTTAGAATAGTAAATTTCACCTTCAACAGCACGTTTATACCCACTCACTTGCAGTTGACAATTGAATGTTGTACCTGTCATTACTGAGAACCTCAGAAGATGGAGAGAAAGAGTGTGAAGGGAATAAGAATAAGTTTGTCGAACTGGGAATATTGAGGGGATATTATTAGGATCTCTCTTCTTTCTGCCTTTTTTTTTTTTTTTTGTTAATCTAAGGGTCAAAAGCCCATCATGACATGAATCTCTACATCATATTGAGTAATTCAAGTAATATTCGCCATGAAAATATTTTCAGTTCATGCCAAATTACATGACCTCAAGTGGGGTTTGAATTGGATCACAAAAAGTTGCTTACTGAAAACCCATTGGTATTCAAACAATGTTTAAAAAAAAGAAAAAAAAAATTCCAAAAATCTTTCAAGTACACCACTCATCAATATTGGGCCCCAAATATTCATTTGCAAGGAAAAACCTCAGACTCCCAGCAGATGAGAAAAAAATGCACTTCCATTCACTAAAGCCATCAAAGAGATAGAAAATAATGAACTATATATCACTTGTCAGATGCTTGATTGACCTCACCGCTCTCTGCTTCACCAACAACTTTCTTTTCGTCTCCTTCCATTGCATCTTCATTTGCGCAATGGTTCTTCAACACTGTAGAAATGTCAGCTTCAGAAGCTCCGGCAAGCTTGAAGCGCTCAACAGCAGTATCAAGATTCTTTTTCCAACCATCCATTCCTAATTTGCACTCAACTTGGGATCGTTCAAAGAGCATGTTGCCCCAGAAAAGATGTATTTGTGATCTCATCACAGCTGCTTCCTCAGCTGAAAGCTCACCCTGACTACCAGTTCCTGAGAGCTCACTGTCAGCACTACTTCCAAGTTTCTTCCTTCTCTTTAACAACTCCTTCTTGCTTGAATTTGGATCTTTCAACTCATTTACTCTCTGCTCCTCGAACTTCTCCCACATTTCAGTAGCAGCTTTCATCTTCTCCTCTGCGCTGTCGAAAAGTTGAAGTGTCTCCGCAGGATCCCAGCTTGAGAGATCTATTTTCTTTGCAAGTGCAAAAGACCAATTAAGTTTGGCCATTTCAAATTGCTGCTGTCCCAGTGCCAGCAGCCCTTCATAAAAGTCCGGCTTGATTAAGAGGGCTTCCGCATACTTTCTCCCTGGCCAAAGAATGCTTTTCCCTAACCCAGTCATAAGCCACTTGAAGTTGTGCTGACACTACCTCCTTGCCAGAAGAATCATCTAGGGGAATCCGTTTCCTTGCAGCACACATATGAACATTCCCCCAATTAAAGAAAGTCAACGCAGCAACCTCTTGGAACTTGGCAGCAGCTTTGTCAAAGAGGATTTGAGCTTCCTTACTTGTAACAGTCTCCTCAAGAGCCTCTGAACACAGCTCCATCCCAAGCTCGTGCAAGTCAATATGAGCATCAGGATCAATACTTACATGGGTGCGGAAAAGCAGAGCAAACTCAAACAGTCAATCATCCATCTCCACTTCCTTGCACTCTGGATCTTCTGAAGCCCCTATTTGTTCCTTTGAAGCTTCTTTCTCTGCCTTTTCAATCTCAGTATCAACACCTTCCGACAACAAAGTATCACCAACAGATGAGTGAGACCCACTTTCATCTGCCTTGGCTTCCTCACTCTCCAAAGGCTTCTCCTCCTCTTCTTCCAGCAATGGTGGCTCCTGCTCTGGACTCACCTCAACAATGCGCAATCTCAACATCCCAAACCCACGGGTTTTATCCGGCTCTATTGGAATAAGAGCATCTACAGAAGACTCAGCCAATCTGAGTTCTTCGTACAGGTAATAGTTACCAAATCCCCATCATTATCCTTATATTTGATCAAAATTGACTTGGATGAAGGAAAACGTTTGCTCACAATCTCTCTTAGAACTTTGAAGCTGCAATTAACCGGCATGTGAGAAAGCCTTATGTCATGATCATAAACAAGTTTCAATGGTCTCCACTGAATTGCCACCTCCAATCCTGCCCATGCATAGAAGCAGAAAAAAACTGTTCTCTCTCGCCATCCTTATTCAGATTATCAGTTGCTTTCAAAGAACCACTCGAGGGCTTCAGCATGAGTCTTGGCAACTGGGCCTTGTTCTCTTGACCATTTTCAGCTGCTACATTGATTTGGCGCTTCTCCAGCCTATTACTTGGTGATACAACTGATCCTCCAGGAGGTGATACTGCTGTCTTCTTAGGCAACGGGCAAGCAGGTAAGCAAGGACCAAGGCCTGCAATTGGGGCACCACGAACAGCACAAGCCCCAAGTTCAGCTGGGGAAGGGCGGCTCTGGAGGTCTTGCTGAGCCTCCTGGCAAGGACCAAGTGCAGTCCTTAATCTCCTGGCAATCTCTAAATCATCTTTATGATTGGGGGCAGGCCCCGACAAGAGCTGCACATCCTGCATGGCCATTTCATACTTTCGGTAGGAAAACACTTATTTACAGATAGTTGCAATCTTATAATCTATATATTTATATTTGTATCTCTAGAATTAAGGATAAAAAATTAGAATAGACAATCTCTCAATTATAGGATCAGTTTTTAGGAAAATTTAGTTTTTTAGTTTAACCCCTAGTTAGTTGTATATAAACTTAAGGTTCTTGTTTAATTTTTAATGAGCAATTTTTCAATATACATTTAATTTTTTCTCTTAGTTTTTCACACAATTTTATTTTTTAATTTTTTCACATGGTATTAGAGCTTTAGGCTCTTCTTGGGAAGCAAAATTTTCAGTCTTCATTGCTGACTTCTATTTTAGACCTTCATTGTCGACTTTTATTTTAGGCTTTCATTGTCGAACCCTGTTAAGGCATTCATAGCCATTCTATTTTTCTCTTTTTTAGCCTTTATTGCTAAGAGTCATTTCTGGTTATATCTTAAGACTTATTTCAGTTCAAAGAAAGATATCACTACCACCCAATTTGAGGAAGTGTCAATTGGAAAAATTACCAAAGTATTATAGATGTCCCAAAAACAAGGAGAGTTTGATAGGGAAGAGATTGAAAAGCTGAGAAACTTATTAAAAACCCTTAAAAAGCCTATTGTGGTATGTTCCTTGCATAAGGTCTCTAGTCAGGTAAAGCTTCTAGTTCTCATGGATTAAATGTCTCGATTAAGCCTATTACAAGTTTTTGGGTCATTGATTTAGGAGCCACAAACCATATGACACATTCCTCACAGAAGTTTAATACATATACCTTGTGTCCTAGTAATAAAAAAATTGTTGTTGCAGATGATTTACTTACTACAGTGACAGGATTAGGAGATATTCAAGTTAATCCCTCGTTTGTTCTAAAAAATATTCTTTATGTTCCTGGATTGTCTACTAATCTGATATCTATACACAAACTTACCGGATATATGAATTGCAAAGTGACTTTTTATCCCTCTTATTGTGATTTCAAGATCAAAGTTCAGAGAAGAGGATTGGACTGGCTAAGAAAAATGATAGACTATACTATCTTGAGACATTAAATAACACAAGTAATATCAAGAATAGTTTACCTTTATCATTTTTTTTTGAAAAATCTTTCAATAAAGATAAAATCTGGCTTTATCATTTTTGTCTTGGACATCCTTCTTTTGGAACTTTGACAAACATGTTTTCTTTTTTGTTCAAAGGATTAAATGTCAAAAATTTACATTGTGATGTTTGTGAACTTACAAAGCATAGACGTGTATCTTTTCCAATTAGTAACAAAAAAAGTTCTACTCCTTTTTACTTGATTCATAATGACATTTGGGGTCTCTCTATAATTTCTAATATTTTTGCTGCAAGATGGTTTGTTTCATTCATAGATGATTGTATTAGGGTCTCTTAAATTTTTTTTACTTAAATCCAGATTAGATGTAAATAGTATGTTTTTAAGCGTTCAAAATATGATCCAAAATCAATTTGGAGTGAGAATCAAGAGGTTTAAATTTGATAATGCAAGAGACTATTTCAACCAAAGTCTATCCACTTATTTTCAAAATGAAGAGATTATCTATGAATCATCTTGTGTTAATACTCCACAGTAGAATTGAGTGACAGAAAAAAAAAACCATTTACTAGCCACAACCCGAACCTTATTTTTTCAAGCAAATGTAACCAAATCTTACTGGGGAAAAGCTGTTCTCACTGTCACACACATTATAAATAGGTTACCTTCAAGGGTTTTGGGATTTAAAACTTCTATGGAACTACTCTTACAATTATATCCCAACCTTAATACCACAAATAATCTCATACCTAGGATATTTAGTTGTACATCATTTGTTTATGTTCACAATCATAATAAAGGAAAGTTAGATCCAATAGGGATTAAGTATATCTTTGTAGGATATTCCTCAACTCAGAAAGGGTATAAGTGTTATCATGCTTCTACTAAAAAATTTTATGTATACAGATGTCACTTTTGAAGAAAGCAAACCATTTTTTACTCAACCTTATCTTCAGGGGGAGACTTCATTCATGGAAGATAAGGATAAAGACTTTTTTTTGCTTGATTTGTCCTCTTCTTCAATATTTTCACCCATTAATTATTCTGAGTCGAAACCTGTTTCTACTAAGCTTAAGTTAAACACTAAATTTAAGTCTGAACTCATTTCAAATACAGAAGATGTGACAAAGGATAATATTGTTCTTGATTCTATGAAGGAATTACAGGTGTACTCAAGAAGAAAAGTTTCAAATCCTGAACCAGTGCCAATCCAAAAACCTAATCCTAACTCTAGAAATGAAGTAACTATAATTTTTTACTTTGTTTCTCAAAATGAGCATGAATCTCTTAAAACTATAACTAGTGATTATGATAGGCTTATTGTCATTAGGAATAGAATTAGAAAATGTACTAAGCATCCATTATACCCAATCTCTAATTTTATATCATTTGAAATATTCTCACCATCCCACAAAAATTTTCTTGTGAGCCTAAACGCTATTTCTGTTCCAACTACATTATCTGAGGCAGTATCCAGCGAGAAATAGAGGCAAGCCATGAAGGCCTTAGAGAAAAATAAAACATGAGAACTGGTAGAGTTGCCTAAAGAAAAAAATCTAGTGGGATGTAGATAGGTTTTCATTGTAAAATACAAGGCGAATGGTACTGTTGAAAGGTATA